ACTATATTTTCTATATCCTTGAAGCTCTGGCATTTAGGACCTTGATCCTAGAGAAACAGCCCCTCCCAGAGCTAGTTAATCCCAGAGATAGCAAAAGACTTGCCTGCAAGTACTCTTTCCACATATAACCAGCACTCACACACCCAATACCCCCTTTATCACATACACACCAAGCCAATATTACCCCTGCTCTAAATCACCCAAGATCACTGGATAACTAGGGACCACTCCAATAGTCCAGAGCCTGCCAAAATTGTTCAATCTCTCTTATCTTAAACTTACTCAGAATATCTGACCTGACTCACCAATTCCTTCCTGCAAAAACATCCATAAAAGCTCCAGGTCACGCTCTCCCCTCTCTCCCTTTGCCTCTTGTCTGATCCTGGGTTTCCTGTGCAGCCTGCATGGCAAAGCCTTGCCTCCTGTTCTAGGAATCTGTGAATATCAACCTCTTTCCTCACGATCATTTCTGGTTCTACATGTCTCAACATACCTGCTTAAAACAAAACCTCCGTACAAATTAGACTACCTATATGAAGGAGAGGTTCAGACATGACCCTTTCCATCAGAAGTTTACTAATGACAGTGAATTGTTTTAGGAAAATCAGCTCAGTATCTGTGAAGGAAGCATGAAGATTCATATACAAAGATACCCCTGCTTTTCAAAATATAAATGCCTTTTTATGCATGAGATGCCTGAAACCTTCATAAAAGGGGTGCCTAATTAATTGGGAATGAACTCAGGCAAATCCCTGTGGTACGTGAACTGGCAGTGATAGGAGAGTACCAGCTGTTGCCACCCACATTCTACTCGTTAATTAGAAAACATTCAGAGACCTTCAAACTTGTGTGGTGTGGGTAGAGGATAAAATGTAAGGAGACTAATAGGGTAAACTGAGGCTAAAGAGGGAGGCAGGAGCCAGATTACACGGGGTCTAACGTGTCCTAAGGAGAACTGCAAATTAAAGAATTTACAAAAGACAGTGACACAATCAGATCTACAGCTGGAAAAATCATTCTGATATCAGCTGGATGGGTAAGTAAAGTTCATGTTAAAAATATACATATACTACGTGTACAAGTAAGATTTAACATTCCTAGAGCCCCCCTAAGAAAATCTAAGAGATCACATAAATAGTCTAAGGCAAAGAAAATCTTTGTAGCCAAGAATGAAAACTCAGAGGTGGTGAATAAAAATAAATGTAGCTAATACTTAGAAACTTTAAACATTTATATGACATGCAGAACATAAATGAAGGTAATAGACACAAGACAGATGTATTTGTCTTTTTTGCCTCTCTCTGCCCACCTTCAGAATGCCATCTACAAAGGACAGGATCTTTTTTTTTTGCTTCATTTATTGCTATATTCCCAATGCCTAGAACAATGCTCAGTAGTAGAAAGCATTCAAAAAAAAATATTTGTTGAATGACTGAATATGGGCATGCAGTTCTTGCTGGAAGACTATTACCCATCAGGCTCTAATATTTCTGCACATTTTGCAAGCAGAGACATGACCAGTCTTTGTTTTGCACTATCTTTTCAAGATGCTTAGGTTGTGACTGGCTTTAGAAAAGGAGGTAGGGTCTTCCTTTAGAGCAAAGGGCAAGTTGATTCAATATCCAGAATATTAAAGAGAATGCTTCTCTCTGGAATCAAATATGAGGGAGGATTAGTGTTCATTCTAAAAGAGTCAGGTTCCTCTCACATGATCAACCAACCACACATAACCCTCTCTGTTTCATCTTAGGGGAAGTGGACTTGAGGAATACGCGCAAATGTGGAAATGCTACTGCTACTACTGAGAAATAAATCAACCTTTGAATTAGACCCAGGAGTCTGTTGTTTTTTGGGTTTTTTTTTAATTGTATTATTTTTATTAAGGTTACATTGGTTTGCAACATTGTATATGATTTAGAGATACAGGTTTCCACTTCTGTAGATGTAAGTTAGCACAAAACACCCAGCACCAAAACACCCATAATCCTCTACCATCGTCCATTGAGCCCATGTGTTCTATATTACACCTTCTCCCCTTCTATCCATGACTTTGCAATTAGATTTTGATGATTTGTTTTGGTCTAGTTTTACCTATTCCTTTTTTGTCTATCTTTGTTCCTTTGTTTCACCTCTTTATATTCCACATATGAATGAAATAATCTGGTGTAGTCTTTCTCCTTCTGACTTCAATCACTCAGCATAATCCTTTCCAGTTCAATACACGTCACAAATGAAAGATTTCATCTTTTTTGTAGTTGAGTATATATACCATATATATTGTGTATATATACCATATCTTCTTTATCCACTCATCTGCCACTGGGTACTTAGGTAGTTTCCATAACTTCGTTATTGTAAATAGTGCTGCAATGAACATAGGAGTGCACAGATCCCTTCAGTGTCTTTGTATTCTTCAGATCAATATCTAAGAGTAGAATTGCTGGATTAGGTGGTATATCTATTTTTAATTTTTTTTATTTTATATATATTTTTACATCATTTTTCATTTTTGCACAATGTATGCATTTTCATCTTGGTTATAGTCCCCATACAATTTCCACCTCCCTTGTTTTGATCCTACTCCCTCCTCCTCACCCGGTAGTGTGTCTCTGGTTTATAGTTGCTTGTTGATTTTATTTTGAGAAACTTCCATACTGTTTGCCATAGAGGCTGAAACAGTCACATTCCCACCAACAGTGTACAAGGGTTCCTTTTCCCCACACTCTCACCAACACATGTTGTTTCTGATCTTTTTGATATGAGCCATTCTCACAGGTGTAAGGTAATATTTCGTTGTGGCTTTGATTTGCTTTTCCCTGATGTAAGGGATGATGAATATTTTTTCATAAGCCTGTTGTCTATCTGTATTTCATCTTTGGAGAAGTACTATTTAACTCTTCTGTCTATATTTTGATTGGGTTATTTGTTTGGCATTGTTGAGTTGTATGAGTTCTCTGTAGATCTTGGATATAATCCCCTTGCAGATATATGGTATACAAATTTTTTCTCCCATTCCATAAGGTGTCTTTTAATTTTAGTAGAAACTTCTTTTCACTGTCCAAAAATTTCTGTTTGATACAGTCCCATTTGTTAATTTTTGTTTTGGTTTTCCTTGCCATTGTAGTCAAATCCTCAAAGATAACCCTGAAGCAAATATCATGGAGTGTTTTGCCTTTGTTTTTTTCTGTGTTTCATGGTTTCAGGTATTCTATGCAAGTTTTTAATCCATTTTGAATTATTATGTATTGGATAAGGTAGTAGTTTAGTTTCATTCTTTTGCTTGTGGCTGTCCAGTTCTCACAACACCATTTGTTGAAGGATTTTCCTTTCTCCGTGGTATCCTCTTGACTCCTTTGTCATAGATTAACTGACTATATAAGTGTAGTTTTATTTTTGGGCTCTCAATTCTATCACTTTGGTCTGTGAGTCTATTTTTGTTCCAATGCCATACTGTTTTGATTACTATAGCACTGTAGTACAGAATGAAGCCTGGGGGCATGACTATTCTTTTTCATTAGAATCACTTCCTTTGTTACATTCATTCCTAGGTATTTAATTCTTTTTAATTTAATTATAAGTGGGATTGCTTTCTTGATTTGTTTTTCCTCTGGTTTGTTATTTGCATATATGAATGCAACAGATTTTTTGCATATTGATTTTGTAGGCTGCCACTTCACTATACTGACTTATTGTTTTTAATGTTTTTTAGTGGAGTCTTATAGGGTTTTCTATGTATCTCATCAGATGGTCTGCAAAAAGTAATAATTTTAACTCCTCTTTCCCAATTTGATTTCTTTTATCTTTCCCTTGCCTAAATAAGGCACATCCTGTTTTCTGTCAATATTCATGAAATTACATCTTATCTTGACTCTACAATTCTTATCATGCTTATGTTTACATTTGTCTGTCTAAGATTATGTGAACATGAAGTAAAACATGAAAGAATGAATGCAGGGCTAACAAACTTGGGTCATAGGGGCAGGACTGGAAGGATTGGGGAAGGAAAGTAGAAAGAGGAAGTTCAGTTAAAAATGACAAAAATACCAACAAAGAGGGTTATAATTGTGACATTGGTGATAATAAATCTAGAATTGATTCAAACACCAGCTAGGTTTTGGGAGAGCTTGGATATATGTCTTCTCCCTAAAGAATGGCTTGTAAATGCACACCTGAGAGCCTGAAGGTATGTCCCCATATTTTTATATCACTGCATGCACATTAGTGAACAAGACTCAGATAGTTTCAAATAAGCTCTCAGGTTTTCTGAACATCTGCCCAAGTTGCAGTCTCTTGACCTTGCCCAACCCTTATCACATGGTGCTTCAATCGACAAAAGTAAAATCTTTGGTGCTGTGATTGTTTACTTCACAACCAAGTCTTTTTTCCCTTGTGTAAGAAGGTGATAAAAAAAAAAGTGAAGGTTAATTTAGGGGTGTGTGTGTGTGTGTGTGTGTGTGTATTTGTGTGTGTGTGTTTAAGGCTTTTGAAATGCCATACTTTGTCCTTATAGTCTTACCAAAGTTATCAGGTCTCTTTTCAGGGAAAAAAAAATCATTTAAAGAAAGTCTTATTGGGGGCCTCCCTGGGCGCAGGGGTTAAAGAGACAGCGCTATCAAGCTATCGCCAGCACTGCAGCATGAGTTCAATCCCCAAGAAGCTAACCCACGTGGCGCAGCAGACCTCTCCTTCAGCCATGTATTTCAGTAGATCTGCCTGTTCCGCTCCCCACTCTCTCTGGTGAATCCTCTCACATATCACCCCACCCCCGCACCTCTGGCTTATACCCCAGTTCTTGTATGCATAAATAAATAAATCTTTAAAAAGAAGTCTTATTTTTAGAAAGTCTTAATTTTTAAAAGCTGGGCTGTTGCATGTTAGAATTCATCTATAAGCAACTTTGTAAGCTTTGAGAAGTTGCCAGCAAATCTAGTGGCTGATTCAAAATACAGAGAGAATAGACATGAAACAGACTTTCAAGATGAATCAATGATGATACCTACCAGCCTTTGCAACAGCCTGACTTGTCTTGGAAATCTGAGTCCAACCTACAAGAGGAGAAGAATCATGAATTATTATTGTGGCATCATTCCTAAAGAGCTATATGAGAATCATTCAAAGTGATTCAAATCACAAAACAGACTACCCAACCCGAAGAACAGTTTTGACCTTTGATCCAGGCCAGGATTCTAATTCATCCCTCTTAAACCTGGTTGACTGCTTATACCAGGAGGTCGCACTACCTTGTCATCTTACTGTTCCTAAATCTGTTAGAGGAGTTTTTCAGGAGTTCACTGAAATATCACATATTGCATCTGTTACTTTAAGTGAATATTGGCTCACTCTTATTCTGATGGGCTCATTTATTCAACTCAAAGTCCAGGAAACTCTGGAAGCAAAACTGAACTTACCTTAGATTTTTTTAATATTTATTTTCCCACTTGTAGGAGTATGGTGAGGGGTGAGCATGGGAAGATGATAAAATTATCTTTAAAAAAAAATCACATTACTAATTAACCAGTCCCTAAGGACCATTTAAAAAGTCTTAGCAGGTTGTTGAACATTATGCATGACTAATCACTGTTTAGATACCAGAAGTGTTAACTAGTAATAAATTATCCTCTCTAGAGGGCAATTTGACAATTTTGATGAAAAACTTGAAAAATATGACTAGATTTTCTGTATCGTTCTTCAAGAGTGTAAGTAAAAGTTTTTTTATTGTATTCACAGTTGTGGAACCATCACCACAATGAATTTAGAGCATTCTTATTATCCCAAAAGGAATCCTGTACCCCTTGAATGTCACCTTCCAGTCCCCAACTCTCCTAGGGAGCTAGACAACCACTGATCTACGTTGTCTCTATGAATTTTTCCTTCTGGACATTTCATATAAATGAAATCATACAATATGTGGTCTTTTATTTCTAAATTGTCTCACTTAGCATAATGTTTTCAAGGTACATCATTGTTGTGTCTTATGTTCATACTTCATTTTTTTAAAGTCTAAAAAACATTCCATTGCCTAGATAGACCATGTTTTTATTTACGCATTCACCAGTTGATGGCTCTTTGGCTATTACTATAATGTGTAACTTGCATGAACATTCATATGCAAGTCTTTGTGTTGGACATATGTTTTTATTTCCCTTAGGTAGATAGAAACTTAACTGAGTTGCTGAATTGCATAGTGAATTTAACTTACAAGAAATTGCCAACCTGTTTTCCAAAGTGGCTGCAATACTTCCCATTCCCACCAGTATGCATGTCTTTTAATTTAGAAATTCCACGTACAGAAAGGTCTCCTAATGCGGGCACGGGGACCAGTCAAAATATAAATGTACAAGAAATTCTGTGTGACTTTTAAAATAGCTGTTAATAATTGGAAATTAGGGCCTCCCCAGTGGCACAGTGGTTGAGCGCTGGGTTGCGAAGCTGCCCTCTACAGCACCGGTTCGATCCCCAGCCACCAGGCGAGGGTCCCACATGACGCACAGACCTCTCCTGCCACCCGCTGCTCCCCTCAGCAGTGTGCTTCATCAGTCTGCCTGTTCTGCTCCCCGCTCTGGCTCTGGTGAATTCTCTCACCCTCCCGCGCTTCTGACTGTACCCAGTGCTTGTATAAATAAATAAATAAATAAATAAATAACTAAATAAATAAATAAATAAATAAATCTTTTTAAAAAATTGGAAATTACTTAAAATATCCTTTTAATGTGTTTTGGTTAAATACATTATGATTTGTCAATTGGAATACAGCTGTTGAAAATAATGATGTGGGTCTATATTTATTAACATCAATAACTGGATATCAATTACTGGACTTCAGTGTTCTTTACCAAATACATCTCTAGCTATCTGCCACAAGAATTGCACTTCTGTCACCCTAGTGGGAAGGAGAGTCATATGACTGGCGCTGGCCAATAAGCAATAAGCCATAAATGTAAGTAACCCTTGTCACTTCTGGGTCAAATATTGAATTGCAATTGTGCAATCCTATACCACTGACCTTTCTCTCAAGCACAGTAATTAGCATGGTTTGAGATGCTACCCCATCAAATCCAAGTTCTCAAATGACTACAGTATACACAGTTGTTCCATAGCTAATCCAAAATGGACAAGTTATCTCAAGCAAGACTTGAAATTTAGGGGTTGTTCATTACCACAACATAACCTAGCCTATCCTGGCTGATACATTCATGACACATTTATAAGTGATGAATCAGGTGACAAAGGACTGTAGTTCATATTTTTGGTAAGTGTATGCTGGTATATGAACCAAAATGCCAGTGGCTATTACCAAAGACAGGTAAATTCTTTCTTTGCATTTTTCTATTTTAACCCTATTTTTGACAAAATGGCATACACTGTTTCCATAACAGAAAAACAAGAATGATATTTCCACTTGAAAAATGAAAATTATAACAAAATATTTTAATCCTTGCTTTTACTGATTCCCCCCAATGTACATATACTATTACAAATTACCATTATAGACCATTATCAAGCCTCGTGTTCTATAAAACACACAACAGAAAGAAATAGCACAGGATTTAGGTTGCTGTCCACCCTGACTCCAAATGGGAACCACACTTACTGTGAGGATAGCAGTTTCTATTTCTAAAATAGATGGGATATACAAGAGGCTGTCCAGGCAGAGGCCATAATAGTATCCTGGGTAAGGTCTTTGCCAGCTCTGAAGGTTCATCTCAAGTCTTTCCCTTTCTGACATTGTGGGCCATTTTCAGAAAGCTAGCCTAGCCCCTCACAGGTATTAAATTTACCAGTTGACCTTAAGTATTTTCTTTGAAGTCCCCTCCTTTATAAAGTAGGTTTTCCAAGAAAATAAACAAGATCTAAGGAGAACAAGAGATGTTGGTTTTTCATTTTTGAGATGACTATCTGACATCTCAGGGGATTACTCTGGCTACACTTCAATCCAAGTTTAAACTCAGATTGAACCATAATCAAAACTTCCTGGTACACACTGGTTCCCAACTAGTTGGCAATGGAAGTAACACCAATGTCAGCATCACTGTTTTTAGTTAAGAATTCTTGATTCCTTTTATTGTTTCAGGGTTTTCCCACTGCCTTTGTAAGAAAATGGGAGTGAGTGTAGATAACTGGCTCAAGTGAAATGTCAAGGACTACCTTGAAAGTAACCTCAGAGCTGTCACCAACCTGTTAGGGGTCTCTAGTCATTGACTTTAGAGAAACTTCAAATAAGTTTCTTTGCTCCTACAGAGCTAAGCTTGTTTCTCCAGCATCAAAAGAGAAGATGTCTGGACCACAGTATTTCTTGAGAAATAAAAGCCACAATCCCTGCATCCAGGACAATACTACCTAACGTGGAAGAAATAGACCCACAAAAATATAATATACAGGGAATTTTTATAAGTTACAAAGGAATGAGGAGGAAAAGAAGCATTCATGATGTTCATGAGTGACCATTAGTGACCACGTAATGGCGGTATGGCTGCAACTAGTTATGTAAGATGGTTGTTGGCATGGAATTAAAGGGGAGGAGAATTTAAAGGGAATCAGGTTTGATGTAGTAACAGTGTTGAGAAATAGCTGCATAAATCTACCACTCCCTCTTTAATATGTGTGAACCAAACACCTAGAGATAGGAGGATAGCCAAAGCTTTCCTTTGCACAAAGAATGTGACAATAACACTGTTTGGGCTGTAGAGTCGAGAATCTTCCCCATCTACCCCATCATCAGTTAGTCCAACTACTGGTAAAAAAAAATAATTCATAAATGTTCATAATTGGAATAGCAGGGATTATATATTTTTACCAGGATCTATCACAGCATCAGATCATGATAGAAAAGGAAGATAAATACCTTTAGAGCATTCCAAAATACCAGACAGTATCACTTATAAATGGAATATAGTGAACTATAACAAAAGGTCAGATAAAACCAAACCAACAACCAACACTAGAAATTTGATTGTAGAATTGAGGCTAATAGAGGGGGGAGCGGAGACCATTATGGGGAAGGGTCACAATTTAGTCCATGGGGGAGGACTATGGGTGTCTTGGTGATGGGTGTGGCAACACAGACCTGAAGGTATGATCCTATAACTCTAAATCATATGTCGTACTGTAACCCAACGTTAGCTCAGTTTTTCAAAAAAGCCCATAAATGGAAAAGATGATGGGTAGAGAGGAAAAATCTGTTCCAAATGCTGAGAGTGATTCTGCATATGCAGAACACTTACACTCTTTTGGTGTAGATGCTTTCACTTCCCAGGTTGGCTAAAAGAGAAACATAAAGGCAGGGTTCATGCCTTCTGCTCTTCCCCTTGAACTCTATCACTATGTCTGTGGTTCTAGGTCCTCTAACATCACTTAGACCATCAACTGACTGAAATCATGGGTTGTAAGAGGTTGTGTATATGGAATTTTCCACCAGTTGTTCCCCACTTCGTTAGTTTGTTCTGAAATCCTGAAACCAAGACTCAGGAACCTACATGTCAATTACCTCATAGATCTGTTATAAGACATTAAACAAAAGCAAAACTAAAGATTGGAGATGCCCTGGAGATGCCAGCTATCACCTGGGCTGAGAATAGTTGGTCTGGGATGATCCCCACTTGGGTAGTTCTATATCATCCACATAAACGTTTTCTCCCTTTGAAATAATGTTGTTCTAGATTTTGTTGTTATTGACCATTTGTGATGTGGGGGGGCATAACCTCAATAACAGGAGAAGAAGGGGGCTCCATGGTAGGGCAGGTGGTTGAGCGCAGCGCTGTGAAGCTGTCCACAGCCTCTGCAGCACAGGTTCGATCCCTGCCGACCTCAGAGCAACCCACATAGCAAGCAGACCTCTCCTGTCTCTCCCGCTGCTCCCCTCAGCAGTGTATTTCAGTCAGTCTGCCTGCTCTCTTCCCTGCTTTGTCTCTGGTGAATCCTCTCACCATCCTGCACATCTGGCCTGTACCCCAGTTCTTGTATAAATAAAATAAATCTTCAAAAAAAATAATGGGAGAAAAAGCCTAACTTGGGGATTTAAAATTCCAAATGATTTCCAGGCAGCTTT